GCTATGTATTCAGCCTTAGCTGTACTTAAAGCAACACAAGTTTTCTTTTTACTATGCCATGAGACTAGTGCACTTCTTAGTAGGTGACAAGTACCACTTGTGCTTTTTCTATCAAGTCTACACTCAGCATAGTCTGAATCTGAGTAGCCTATCAGACTTAGTGAGACTCCCTTTGGATACCACAAACCTACATTAGTTAAGGATAATAGCCAAAGGCAAGTGTTGATACACTAATTTTGTTCAAGAATATTTGAAGCTTCAATTGGAGACAGATAAAGAATTCAACGTTCAATTCATCGGAGAAGATGAAGAGTGTAATGTTAGAGTTTTTTTATTTAAGCTTGTTGTAGAGCTCTTATTAAGTTAAAGTGTCAAGGGTGTTAGGTATAGTAAATAGAGTTATATAGTCCCTCTTAATGTGGCGAGTCAAAATTTAAAGAATTACCAGAGATAACATATTTAGTGTTCGAGTGTCTCTCAAACAAGATTGTATTTTAAAGAAGATACATGTGACATACAAATTTTTTTTCTTGCGTGATAACGTTTGAGAGATGCTTTTGAAATAAGTTTTTTAATTGATTTGTCAGTCTAATATTAACCGATTTTGTTATGACCACATTTTTGCTTTATTTATTTATTTGATCTTAGTGACCAGAATGTACTCGAAACAATTACCTCACGTTGGATTAATAATGTTCATTTTTATAATTAGATCTATCAAACTTAAGACCTTTATTCAAAATTGGTGTCACATTTATGACTTTAGCTTTTGATAGTTACTTTTTTGCTTCAAAAGCTTCGATCTTTACAAATGTCTAGCTTTATATTTTCTTCCCCGTGCTTATTATTTTATTGAGAGCTCTAGATCTCTTGACCTTTCCTTTTGCATTTGATGTACTTTGAGTAGGTGAAAGGTCTTTTATTGTTTTGTTTGAGAGGGGTTTAGTTATTTGTTGATGCAAGGTGGTTTTGACGTTTCACTCTTTGCCTAGTTAAGCTCTTTTGCCTTTAGGATTTGTGTTGTTTTGGTGAATGATTCTTTCTAAGTGGAAAGTCAAGTGTAAGGGGTTTTTATTAGGCCAAGTTTCTTTTTTTGTTGGCCTTCTTTTCCAATTCCATATTTTGAATGGTGGTCTCTCATTCACTAAACTAAAGTGCGATTGTGAGCACAAATTATCTCGCATCTCAATTAGCTCATACTTTTATCAATAATTTTTTTGGCTTGCCACCGGAAAAGTAAAAGCATACATGTAATAACTAGACACTTTGAAATATAGGAAGTTATTTTTATAGGATTTTTCAAAGTAATTTATTAATTATATTTGTAACACTTTTTTTTATGTTTTAAATTAATTATATGATTAGTTGTGAGTTGTTGCTTTAGAATTATGGAGTCAAGAGACCTTAAGAGTTTAGTTGTTACTGAATTAGTCTTAGGTATAGTTAAGTTAGTTCAATTTAAAAGAATAATATATAAGGTTTTCTTAAGACATGAACCTCATAATAAGTTCATGTTTTAAGAAAAAAAATTCTAGAGAGAAGTTCTTTGAATCCAAATTTTCTTCTCCTTCTTCTAAGTTGAAAATCTTTCCTTTCTTCCTTCCTGTAGCTGATTTACTAAGCTTCTAGAGTTGGAAATCTTAAGTCAGAGATCGTATAAGGTTTGTTTCTTCTCTATTTTTCTTCTCGATTTGGATCCATAAGGTAAGGGGAACTTTGTGGTTTGAATCATTTGATGTTCAATGCTTGTTGTAATGGTCTGAATTCATCATTTGAATGTTTGAATTTGGAAGGTTATGAATTGAATATGTTGTGGAAGGTGCTCATGAAATGGTGTTCTTGAGTCACTTTGAATTTATGAATCTTGTTGGTTGCATGTTATTTATGATGTAGTTTTCAAGCTATTTATGGCACCTAGATGTCGTGTATCATGTTGCATGTTGGTGGATTTTTGGTTTTCAGGTAGATTGGGCAAAATTGAGCTTCCACCAAGTGCAAAACTCATTGTCATGTTGAACACACCTTCATGACGTCAAACGTGGTTCAATGTTAGGAGTTCTCATTCTCTTGATGTTGGACGCAAAATTGGTGGCATTGGACTTGAGGTGAGAGAATCATTTCTGCCTAGGTCAACATCAAGTGCTAATGAAGTGGCATTAGATGTGAATCAGGTAGATACCTTCTGCCTAATTAGGGTCAAGTGTGGGTAATTGTCACATTAAGTGTGAGAGTGTGGGAGACTCTCTACCTTAACCACATTGGACACGGGTAGTTGGATATTGAATGTGGGTGAGACAAGAAGCCCCTGGCTCAATGGTGCTAGATGCCTAAGGGATGGTGTCGGGCACAAGTTGCATGATTTTAATGTGATGTTTTAAGTTGTTTTATGATTGAAAGATGATGATTAAGTTGTAAAGTCGTATGATGTTATAGTTGATCAAGTTGTTAAGTTGCTGGACATGGTGTAAATACATATTTTTGTTGATATACATAAAAAGTATAGGAGAGTAAAGGATGTTTTAGAAATTAAAATATCTCATTGTGGATATAAGTTGGGATGTTTCGAGAGTCCAATTGAGAACCTTTTAATAAGTAAGTTGGCTTCTGAATGGGTAGTTGTTTTAAGTTGTCTCCTTTAGGTATTATGTGGAATCGATATGTGAGTAAGGTTGAGACATACATGTATAAAGTAACCAATTGAATAAAGTACAAGATTGGGGGTTTAGTCTCTAACTGAGTATTGGAAGGACGTGATATTTAGAGGATAATCGGTGGAATAATCCCATAAGGAGCTTAATATTGCAAGCTAATGTCGTCGTAGGTTCATACCTAAGTTGTTCTACCATAACAGTAGTACTAAACTTCATATTTTAAGTGATGAATCTTGAGATATCAAATTTGAGTTGTAAACCTAACACTCTTTGAGGCCGAAGGTTGTCTATACTTGACCTGGTTGCAATGGGTCAAACGTTATGATTCAATAAGATCTAACTACTTAAACTGTTCATCTCTATTGTAAGAGATCTCCTAAATTGATATGCATGACGATGCATTAGTTGTTTATTGTTGTTAGAATATGTTACTAAAATGAAGTTGTTAAGTACGTTGTCCCATGTTGTAAGTTGTATGTGTTGTATTATTTAGGGTTTAAAATATTAAGTTGCTTGAGTATTGATTAAGTTTCCTATTTTGTATTGTCACAAGTTGTTAATTGGAATTATTATGTTGATTCTTTTCACAGATTTATTCTTGCTTATTTTTCGTGTGATTGAAACTATAATGATCACTTGGTATGGGAGTAAGGCAAGATTAACAAGTTGACTTGTTTAGCTAATGGAGGGTCTTCTATTGATAACTCCTTTTATTGTCATTATGATGTGGCTTAGTAGTTGTATAGACGCTTGATCGACAACTGTGTTATTTTGTGTACAATTATGAAGTTTGTGTACAGGGTATGTATGTAATCCCTTTTGGAGATTTATTGATTTTCAATTGTTTATTTACTACCCTATACATGTATAGCCTTGCATGAATGACTAAGTAACTATTACATGAAAACTTTAGGATAGTTGATTTAAGTTAGTATTTCCATTATGTAATTGTTAAGCTATACCAAATATAAGGACCTATTGAGTTGTTACAATATTCATATTAGAGAATATAACTATTTTTTTTTTTATATGAAAGGATATTAATGTTTATATGAGAGTCATTAATATTTAAATTACAGAATAAAAATATATGGTGAGATTATTTTTTTCACATCAAAATATATTAATATGTAAATTACTATAGATGAATATTACAATGGAAATTACACATTAATATAAAATTTTATGTTTTAAAGATAATATATATTGTGCACAAAAATGAGTTAATTTGTTACTTTAAAAATAGATTTTTTTTAAAAAAATAACAAATCAAATTTATTATTTTCATACATTTGTTTCAGTTTTTTAAATTATTCTGAAGAAAACCAAATCTAAAATCTTATTAATTAAACATAAAAAATTGTTTTGAAATGTTTTTGGTGTGACTATTTTGACTAATTTTTTATAAAAATTAGTTGTTTCTTAGGGTGTAAGTGGATAATGATTTAGCCACAAACTCAACCTACCTAAAGCAATCCAATTACATTTCTGTGAGTTGAGTTGAATAACTTTTTTCATTAACCAATTATAGTTAGGTTAAACAATGGGTTAAGGGATTTGTTATGCAATGAGTTCGAACCAACCCAATCTATAATGAATTATTAAATTAAATTAAAAATATTATACGCAATATAACACATAATACACTTTAAACAATTTTATATTGATTTTTACTTTATGGTGTGTTTGGGGAAAGAATTTTAGAAATTTAAGAAATCTGAAATTCTTAAAATTTGAATTACTTTAATTTCAATTTCTATCATTTTTTAAATGTTTTGTTTGGATACATCAAATCAAATTTCTTAAATTTTTAATTTTTAATTTGGATATGATAATTTGATTTTCATCAAAAACAAAATTGATTATATATATATATATATATATATATATATGCACACACATACACACATTGAATTTAGTGGTAGGAGTTAGAGTAGAATGCACATAATTTTAGGTTTAAATTTTTAGGTTTATTTCATTTGTGATTATTGAAATGTTGATTATATTTTGAATTATGTATTAAAATTTGAATTAAGTATTTTTTTTATTTGTTTCAATTTTTTTGAAATATATTTTTAATTATTCAACCCAATAATATGATTTGACCCAACTCAATTGTAGTTAGGTTGGGTTGTGTTGAATTACTTTTAAAAAAAAAGTTAACAAATCCATTCCAACTCAATCAAATTTAATTAAATTTAATTAGATTGGGTAAAAAAAAAATTAAATCCAACCTCATTATATTCTCAAGTTGTTTCTTTCTAAATAAAATGATTATTTTGATTTAAACAAACAAAAATTAACTTCTACTTTTTAAAAATCTCTAAAAAAACACTTATTTTATATCAGAATCATTGTTTTAAATCTCTAACAATCAAGCCCATTATCATGCTATCTAATTTTGAAGGCATACTTCTTATCCAGCTTTCATGAAGTGTTGGGACAAATGAACATAAAATTGGATGCCTTAGCAAGTAAAGCAACCAAACAGAGACAATAGATTGGAAAGGAACAATCAAAGCCACAATCCCAGTTACCAGACACAAAACCATAATTAATATTGTAGCTATTGGATCCTGCCATATTATAAGACACTGTAGTCTCTCTCCTTTGGTGGCAAAATCAACCAACACTGTTACATATTTCTCCGCAACAACTCTTAATCGATCGTATCTATCCCTTATAATGGCTTTCAATTCATTTATACTTGCTGTATCAACATGAAACATTTGCAAACCTACATGACACTCTTTTCTTGGCTTGTTTTGATGCTGCAGGAGCACACGCATGATAACACAAGAGAACATTGTAGACAGCAAATGTTGAGGGGAAACAATCATCACAATAATGAGAAACAAGCAAATTATAAGTGATGAAATAGGATTTCTCTTGCATATAGCACCAAGTTGAGTGCATAAGGTTACCAACCCACTTTCAAAAGTTTTGAGCGTTTCAAATTCAGCTTTACCTCTTTGCATGTTCCACATGATTTCACCAGAAACTGAGTCAAGCATGACAACTTGTTTTCTTAACCCATGATACTGAGCCAGATGCAATGGATTAACAAAATGTTGTCTAGGGGGCATAGGTAATGTGTACACTACTTTGCACAGATTAATCATATCTGTGTAACAAAAGTTGAAAGCTAATTGAATTTCTCCCGTCTTCTTCAGCCCCAAAGGTTGAAGTTCAACAATCGGATCAGAATAAGAGTGAATTCTGATTGTTTCAGGTTCAGATAGAGTGACCATCACATTCCCTATTCTTGTATCTATTGTACCTATAGCTAATGCATCTCCTTTGTGCAATTGACCATTATCAGACCTACAATTTCTGATGAATGTACATGGGTCATAGCTATCCCAAGAGTATTGCTCATTCCAGTGTGGATCTTCATCAAATACATGATACTCTCCATCCAAAGAGAGCCTCAAATCATGTCTACCAGCAAATCCCTCATTCTGTTTAACATCAATGATTTTAGTAGATGGAAGTGACTCATCTACTCTCTTGTCTCCATTCTTTACAGGAAATACACATGTCCCTAAATTCTTATAACTTCCTAACATTCCTTTTTTCATGTTCAAATTCAACAGTTGATTAAATGGCTCTAACATATCAATTAACATATCTTCATAGCATTTTGGGTTTCCATTATGGTTCTTTGCCAACTTGCTTGTAAAGGTCAAATTCCCCAAAGTAGCCTGGATGAAAATTTGAGAAATTTGGGTGCTATCTTCATGCAGCAAATCCAAGGCTTGAATCAAATTAACTCTAAGACAGAAAATCCTAGGCATAAGATATATCCGTGAAAGAGTATTGGCAACATTATTTTTGTAAATACCAATCGATGTTGCAGTTAAATTCAAATGCCAAACTTGAGGAGAAGTATCTTTTATACATGTAGATAACAACATAAGCTCTTCCTTCACAAACAAGAGATTGATTTCACCAAGGTCAGTGACGGTTGTGATTCCCCTATCACCCGTTACGCTCTTTGAATCAGTAATATGAGAAATCCCCTTCAAATTAAAATCCACTTTCTCATCTCCCATGGCTATGACAACAATATACAAGAACAGATTAAAATTAAACTTCTATATTCATACCAACAACGTTACACCCTTTATCTAAAAAGTCGTACGTTAAATAAAAATACGACATACATATGTTAAAATATAAAAACAAACAAACAAAATCATTGGTTTAATAATCAAGAGAATTGTTAAATAAGGGTGGCAAGGCAAACACATTTTAATTGAAAAACAATATGAACATTACCAACGTATCGGAAGGAATTAGTCTCCTCCCATGTATTGAATCAAGGTCTGATTTTTTGTTAGGAGAAGAATCTTGGGTCTGCATGTGATATCCGGCAATGCCTCAGACAGGATTCTTTCTAAATGAAGATACCTGGAATAAAATAAATCAGTATTCAATTATTTGAATCCTGCAGCAGCAACCAACAAAATGCATACGTACCTGCATGGGCATGGCTCAGTGAATTCCACCGCGCAACAAACCCTTCAATGTCGCATAGAATGTCACAACGGAAATATTACAAAACCTTTATGGGCTTTGAATCACTATTAGGTTCGGTGGATCAAATCATTTTAATTGGTCCATTCCATTTATTATTAACAACAATAAAATACTTTTATTTATAAATAAAAAATAAAAATAAAAAGTAGAAGTATTTTATTTGTACTACTACAGATAAACAAGGAGGGAAAATATATTTGTTCCTCTTATATCTACAAACAAAATATTCGTGAACACCAACTTCGGCTCTTCCACCACTGGCTACTCCCCGCAAGTAATGGACTCTGCAAATTCTTTAAACCTATGATACTTCAATTTGCATAATATCTTACATGTATAATGTATTAGTGAAGCATGAATTTTTAAAAATATTATGAAAATTTTATCTAATCTTGATATTTTTAAATACTTTACCAATGTATTGGTGAAGTATCCAAATTTTAAAAAATTTATGAAATATTCATTACAGTTAAATAAGATATATAAATATATTAATATGAAAACAAAGAAACATGATCTCAAAATAAAAATTGAATTTGCAAAATTATAATTATAAATTTATTATATATTATAAATAGTATAATATATAAAGACACATATCTTACATATATCTATTTTATATATTTTAAAATAATTGTATCTGTGTCATATAAGTATTCGTATCCGTCCATCATAGTTGAAAACTCAGGAGAAGACATCTTAACCATGTCATGGTACTCCTCTTTGGGAATATGCAGGAGCCTATCACGTTCAACTCAAAATTAGATGTCTTGTCTTGCACTATCAAGAAAAGTGAAATGAAAAATCTTGGAGAAAGAGAGAAAAAAAAAACGCATTAGGTTTTCGAACATGAAGGTCATGCCCTAAAACAAAACAACTCAATAAAATTTCCCAACCTACATGAAAAAAAAATGACTAAACTTACAAGAAACACATGTTTTTAACGTGAAAAACTTCTCGAAATAAAGATAAAAAATCATAAGTGGGCTAAATCAAAGAAAAATTTCACCATAATCAACAAAGAATACAAAATAATCCCCTACAAAGTACACGAATTTAGAACTAAAACAAACTAATCTCCGATGCTTATCAAAGAGAAACAAGATAAAAACAAAAAAAAAAACTATAAACTATAAACAACACCGCCGATATGAGAAGCTTTTCTCCCACTTTGGAGACCTTCTTTTAAGGATCCAAATGTTGAAAAGGAAGAACCACCTACTTTGAACCTTGTTGGATCGAGCGCTTACCACTAGGCCAAAAACTATAGCTGATAGTCAGGGCGCAACTCTTTTTACTTAAGAGCGTAGGAACCCAAGCGCCATGATTCGACAGTGACTTGAGGGGTGCGGATTATTCACATTTCATTTGATGGTCAGAGGCGAATTGAAAGCTAAGCTGTGGTAATTCTAAGGATTCCCTGGAGAAAAATAGAGATGTCTCCTACGTTACCCGTACCGTGTGGAAGTAGCGACGTAATTTCATAGAGTCATTCAGTCTGAATGCTACATGAAGAACATAAGCCAGATGAAGGAACGGGAAGACCTAGGATGTAGAAGATCATAACATGAGTGATTCGGCAGATTTGGATTCCTATATACCCACTCGTGCGGTACTTCATTGTGCGATATAGATATAGATAGATATATCCATATAAGATCCATCTGTATAGATATCATCATCTACATCCAGAAAGCCGTATGCTTTGTAAGGTGACTTGGCCCACCTAGCCTCCGCCACAGAACAATTGATGCAACCCGCAACAAACCTACAATTGATGCAACCCGCAACAAACCTGATGTCCAAAATTCAGCATGATCCACAGCTCTGAAATGTGAAAATGCTCAATGGATTTCTCTCTTCTTTTTTCTTCTTTTTTTTGTTTGTTGTTTCTCTCTCAATAATGAATCTCACTCTCAACTTTAATCTGACTCCGTTTTATTTGATTAAGTGAAAAATGGAATTACACATTTAAACTTATTCATCACGTAAAAATAAAAAAGGGGGTCCAATACTCGCGGTGGCATCCTCATCTTTAAGGTGAAAATGTTGTTGTTGACAACGGCTGACGCTCACAGAGACAGTGCAGTCGTAAAGAAAAAGATGCTCTGCTGAGCTGCTAACGACAACATACTCACTGTCACGGGTGATCTTCATGTTCGAAAATCCTAGTGCTTTCGCAACGAGGAGCACTTCTGCCGACAAGATAATATATCTTATGTTCATTGCATGTTTATAGTAATTTCATGCACTAGCTAGCTGCTGATGAAATGAATACAGTTCATGACGGTGAGTTTCATTGTTCTAGTGGTTATATATACTTGTTATTTTGTTTGTTATATGACACCTAATTATTCCGTTAATTCTGTTATATAGTTTTTATTCCCTTGGTTCTTAAGGCACAATTTAACAAAACTGGGGATAATATTTATAAGGCACTTTATAATATCTATAAAATATTAATTTATTTTTTTAATTTTATTTTTATTAAATATTGTGAGAGTGTGTATTTCTCTCTCACATCTTTTAGATTTTTAATTATTATTTATTATTTTTATGTTAAGTAAATTCTTACCACTCTCATAAAAATATAATAATAAATAAGAAAAATAAAATTAGTACATCATAAATTTAATTTATAAACTTAATAAAATTAATTAATATTATTATGTATATTGGTTTGTGTGATTCAATTAGATGTCTTATAATAAGAATCAGAAAAATATATGATAACTACTTATTTTGTTAATTATGTTATACTTAGTATGTAAGTGTACGAATAACTGTTTCACAATCATAATTAGGTTTTATTTGAACGTAAAATTTTAGTAATTTAAAATTCTTAAAATTTGAATTATTTTAATTTTAATTTTAATTTTTAATATTTTTTTAATATATTGTTTCGATAAATAAATTTAAACTTTTATTTTTTAATTTAGATAGAACAATTTAATTTCTACGTAGAATTTGTCCTTATATATTAAATGCAGTATGACAACATCTTTAAAAAATATTTTTTCATGAAAGTATTTAGAATTTTTTATTTAATTTAATTTTTATTTATTATATTATTTTAAATTTTAATATTTTTAAAATAAATTATTTATAATTAAAAATAATCATATGCAATAACATAAATTATATCAAATTAAGAATATAATTTATGTTTAAAAATACCTATTTATACTAATTTTAAATATATCTTATACATTCAAATATTATATATATATATATATATATAATTTATTATAATTTTTAGTTATATATAACCAACATTTATTCTATGAAATATACTAGCTTAAATTATCAACTAGTATTTAAGCTAGTATATTTCACAAACTTAATGTTGGTTATATATGATTAAAAGTTATAATAAGTTATATATATATATATATACTGAAATTTTAAAAATTAAATTTAATATAAACAAACATTAGTCAAATTTTAAATATGTAATATTTTTTAAAAATAAGAAATAATATTCATAAATTTAAATATTCAATTAAAAAAATCAATAATTTTTCATGTCAATCTTTATAAGAGAGGAAAGATAAAAGGGGGTAAAAAAAGAGCGAAGACAACAAAAAATGAGAGATAAAGGATATATCTTTACAAGATAAAAAATAAAAATATATGAAAATTTTCATACTTACTTTTCTTTTTAGCGAAATTGAAGTTGTAAAATTTTAAAGAATTTCACAAATGTTTAAATTTCAAATTCTTAATAAATTCTTCATATAAATATAACATTTCATCTCAAAATATTTTTAAAAAATTAAATAAATCACTCCATTAAAATTTCTCAACCAAACATAGAGAAAAAGAAATTTTTGATTCTATATTATGCTTACGGGGGGTTCCATTAAATAATTTGGACACTTTTATAAAAAGATTACGTCTGAGCGTATGTATTATTATTAGCATTCCTCAATTAACTGTTGTATTGCATTGTATCTGGGGTTGATAATGCAGCCTGAAGAAGCTACAGTATAGATGGAGTCTGTGCCTGACATTTTAATTGAAATATTTGACCTCTTTCACAAAGCACCAAATATTTAGTCAAAAAGACTGGAGGTAATACTAATAAGAACTAGATAAGCGCTCGGCTTTCCGCAACAAATTATGGTAAAAGAAAACAAAAATACCGATTTAATCCTTATTAT